TCTGACATCTCTGTTACAAACTCTGGTCATCAACTCTGGTTTTCAGTTGAAATTGGAATTGTTAATTTACACAATAATAGGATTGCATTGACGATTTTTTCTTAACTCGCAAAAATCTTCAAACAATTTGCTATCGATTGGTGATAAAATTTTTTGGAAATAATGACATAGAGGGGATAACGCCTTTTTTTCAGAGGTGATTTTTCAAAAATTTATTTTAAGAAAAGTACTAACTAGCAAATGTTTTTTATTAGCTCGCAATTTTCTTCAAAACTACTTCAATGAGGAAAAAAATAAAAATTTTGAATATCTATACATGAGGGGCTAATTGATCGGATCTTCAATAACCACGAATAATTGGCCCGATTTTTGCAGGCGCTGGGTACATAGTTGAGGCCTTCTCCGAACTAGAGATGCCGCGGTGAGAAAAAGCGTCGAAACATACGAGCTTTTGTCACGATATCAGAACAAGAATCGAAAATCTCTCAGAATTTGTATCCCTAATTTGTCGAAAACTTTTTTTTATTCAAATATAGAACATACGTTATGTTCTATATAACGTAATTTAGTATAACGTAACGTATACTGTTATGTTCTATACTTGAATAAAAATACAGGACATAACAGATAATACGAATTCAGGGTGTCCCAAAATTGAATTGAAATATTGTGATAGTAGTTCGGAGTAATGAAAATTTTATCTCCGGGGCTTCATTAAAATATTTCTAACTCCAAGTTCCTAATTTGTTATTTTTTCCAGACAAATATCATGGTATAACATTCGGAATACGTTTATCTGAAATAATATCAAACGGAGTTTGTGCGCACCTGCTACTTGCATTCGTCCGCCGAGTATGGCCGTGTGATATGAAGGGTAGTCTTCAGTGATTTCACATTTATAGAATCCGGTCATCTCTCTGGATACATTGAAGAGGGTCACGTCGTGGCTGTCTGATTTTGAAACCTGTCAAGGATAATTTGAAAATTCATACAATTCGAAGATTGCAAAATCTTCTTAACAGGTATGAATCAATTATACAAAAGCATTGATGAAGTCAAGTATAAATCAGATCGTATTGGCCATAAATATTTTGGCGACACACTGTAGGATGTAAGCAGGGTTTGGTGCATCAATAAAAGGCTTAATTCAATAGGCATTAAGTTCATAAAGATATGTTTATTCGAAATACAAACCTTAAAACTAATGCAATAAAAACAGAGTGTTGTGGTACAGCTTCTAACCTTAATTAACGTCAAGTTAAAATTCCCGGCTGCTTGTTCTGTTCATGAATATTTATTACTCAGAGGTACTTTGAAACCTCAAATAACAAAAATACAGAAGCAAAAAAATTTAATCATCAATATTTTTTACATATAACTGCTTTAGATGATTAAAGAACAAAACAAAAAAAGATCATCCATATTTGTATCGACTATATTTATATAATCGATATTTTCGAACCAATAATTGAACTCACTCAAAAAATTTACATTCATTTTGTAAACAAATGAATCATCTTTCGTGAAATGTGAGTGATTATATGAAATTAAGAAACTTAATTTAATAGAAAAAGTCACATCACGCGAGTACTCTGACGGGTTAATAAAAACCTCTGGTTTCAACCTCCCAATAAAGAATTTCCATATGCGGCAGGGCAGAGACCTTTGGCTTTGTCCTCATAACAAGCTTTTTCTAATGTAGCCTCTAGCTTTGGTTCCGGCTTGGCTTCATATTAGGGTAGCGACTCGTAGAGGTTGAGTGAGAGACTGATCTTTCGTCGCTGCGTCGCTCCTTATACACACATTGGCTCCGCCCAGTCTTCTCCCACCCTGCTCCCCCCACTCGCGCTTCGGTGTGGAGTTGCGCGGCATTCTAGTGCTGTGATACCTACTCAATGCGCAACGCTTGAGGCGCGCGAGATTTCAAATTTTTCTGCTCCTTTATTAATTTTCCGTCTAATTTCTTTCTCACGGGTTTTTCTAAATTTTTACTGCTTGTAATTCTTTTTTTCCCCCAATATCTTTTTAAAACAGATTATTCGTTCTTTTCCAATTTCTTTTTGCAAATAAATTATTCTTTTCTTTCTCCCTTTCTTTTACATTCATATCAAATTTTCTATCAACAAATTTTTAATTTACGATCATTGTTGTGACGACTATCAGACTATAGCTCGTCGAGCAAACCGGATGTTAATTTAGGATCACTTTTTTTTTGTTTGAAATTTGCAATCTGGGCGAGTCTCTACTTTATCCCACTCGCTAAAGTGCAGTCTCATGAGTTCGAATGCGCATACACTGGTTGTTTCATCGTCATCAATTTTTTGGGGTTTTTTCTCCCAACTTTTTGTTCTATCGGATTTCTTCAACGCCTCCTTCATTAGTGATTTTTGTCTCAGTACAATTTCGGCACTCCACAAAATTTTCAGTTGTCCTGGAGACATGTTTGAACATACTGTTGGGACGCTAGCTTCATTGGTGCAATATTGATCTGGTTGTTGGCTTTCTTGGCAAGAAAAGGAAATTTTGTTAAAATTCATTTTACCTGAAACAATTTCCTCTGATGATTAACTGACTCAAACATTCTAATACATTATTGGGAAAACTTGCCTGAAATCACTACTGCACCATTTCGTATTAATCCATGTGTTTTGTTCATCTTATCACATGTCCAGCTCCTCACTACCTCTGATGTAGACACGATGCTGTTAACCGCTGAAACCGGTAAAATAATAACACTTCCACGCGTCACTATGTGAACAATGTAATTCACCATGACTGACATTCATTATTCTAGTTTGACGGCGCGTTTTTGCGCCCCTCTATGACGTGAGAATAGACGAATGAGATGATAGACTCAGTCAAGACGGTAACAGGCTTTCGAAATATTTATGATATTTGACTCGATATTTGTGTGACACAACTTTCGAGAAATGGCGTCATGACGTGCATGTATCTTCCAAGTAACGGTTTATTGAGAATATGATGGCCTCAGAGATAAAAAATTTTCTGATTTTGTGATTTTTCTGGTCACTAATTGACCGCTGGTCAGTGGCACGGCCCAATAACAGCAGCAAAATTTCACATATTTACGTATAATATAACGAGAAATTGATCGATTTCTTCCGCTGCATCACTACTCACACATGGTTCTTTACACTTTTCCTCCTTCGTCGGTAGAAATCCGAGACAATACACATAAGTTCAGTAGTCATAATTCGGCATCCGTTTGGTCTATACTACCGTATTAAGTACAATACCTGTATCTAGATTTACTTGTCATGGATTAAAAGTTGGATTCGGAAGAACTGGTTTGCGTTGGACTTTGCGTAAACGTCTGGCTGTCGCCCGGCAAGTTAGTGATGAAGAAGGTTAAAATTTTATTTTTTTAGATGTTGGAACGGTGAATCAAAGTAAATGATACTTTTATTCACCATTTCCACGCAAATTTTGCGCTTGGTATTCTTGAGAATGTAAAGAACAGCGTAAACTTACGTCAATTTTCATGTCCTTCCAAATGAGATAACTATTTTGGGGTTGTTCAGCTTTTGGTACATATTGATAGAATTCCTGGTCATTCAGATACCATTTAACAGTATAAAGTGGGCCTTTCTCCAGATCGTACAGACACGTGAGTGATACTGTATCTCCGGACCTCACAATTGGCGGTACAATGATTTTAACGTTTTTCACACCCAGCGTTCCTGAAATCAAAATTTTCTCATTAATGTTCTCAAGGAAGACATGCGATTGATTATTGGAGTGCTTATTCGGCAATTAGCTTTTATGGGTAAATTTTTAAGTCAATGCTTTAGGAACTGACACAAAAAGACGGTATTGTTCCCACTTTATGAATGGTAATTGTAAATTATACGTAAAGTTGAGCTTATCAGGGCTCTAGCAATACCCGTCGAGCGTGGCCTCTCCTTGTAAACATGGTAAATCATCACGAAATGATTCAGGGGACAAATTTCATTCATCTGTATCATTGTTATTTTTCAGTATTATTTTTTAAAAACTGCATTATGCGCATTCGTCTCCTTGAATGATATTTGTTGAAGAGTATCATCAGCAAAATGTCCTTATATACTATCCTAATGGAAAATTTTAAGTATTACAAAATTTTACATTTTTATGGGCATTTTCATAATGTTTTGTGGTACCAATTCGGTGAAAAATGAAATTAAACATTTATTTTATATGAGACTGATGAAACACTTTTAGTATGAAGAATAATCGACTGTCGATAATCGACAATCGATAGTATGAAGAATAATGGTGAACTCGCTGTTAGATTTTCCATTGCATATCTAATCGAATAATGGTTTCCTGAAGTTGATGATATTCTTTTATTAAAAATATCGATTTTTACATAATGAAACTATGAAAACTCTGCGAGCGCAAGTTTCACCACCGAAAACGAGATGGTGGGTCACCAGAATCACTTTTTCGCCAAACCTATTCACTTACGCGATAAATTCTAGTTGAATTTTACGCAAACTAACTGACTCTTGCCGTATTTTGTGTAGAATCAAATCTCCACACATATCTGTCAGCCCATGGGTATCACTTATCTCACGATGTGTATCAAATCCAGCAATTTCCAAGTCAGAGAACACTTGTCAGTCTTTTTAGTAAACTTGTTAGAAATCATTGGCTAGATTTAGTGAACTATCATTCTCTTGTCGTATAAATGATTGATCGATGACTGTAGTCGTGTCAAGGGATGTTGGCAGCAGGAGCATTTCTCATCACCACAATCCTTCCTCATCGTCATCATTTGATGACATGGCATATCTGAAACACCTATCTAGACAATCGATAACCAGTTTTGCCATTTCACTGTGAGGGTCCTTCCCTTTAGGAATATTGCACAGTAAATCCCTTATAGCCTTCAGAAGATAATTTCTATCTGATAATTTGACCATGTGATTAGTACAGATCGCTCCTATCTTAATAACTGCTGATGAAGCTTCGTCTCCACGAAAGATCACCACCTTTAGATTATACCGCAGTAAGGCAGGATTATCAGTCGCCCATCCAACTGCTATAAACTGGCTCAAATTGCTTTCGCGCTCTCTGTGTAGTTCTGTCGACAATCGCGATCCTTCGTATATTCCAAGTAGCACCTCCGATCGACTTGATAATTTAATCCATATGTTACTACTTAATCGTTGTGGGTATCTTTGATAGACGTGTGGCTACTTAGACTCATAAGTCTTGTCATTTCTCTTCTTAGACCATCCGTAATCAAAGGAACTTATCATTCGCAACATTTTTGCTCCACACAGATTCATTCTTCTACTTAGATGATGGTTTCCTGATATCCGCACCTATCACCTGTCCGGAAATACCTATACATCAGACGTTTAGTCTACCTTACAACTATTATTAACTATTAACTATGAAATTGAGCCTGTTTTCACTAGGAGAAAAGCTGCAGTGAACATCGACTAGAATAACGACGAAAACAATATGAAATTCGAGTTTATACCGAGGGAAACATGAGGAGGTTCAAATTTATATGAATGAAAACACAATTTTAGTCAATTCTTCGTTCGACTCTTCTCGTGTTCAGCTCTCGGTGGAAAAATATTCATTGTTTTTACTCGATCCTACTCTTCACTGTCAAACAATGAAACTCCAGCAGTCTTGAAATAGATAGCCCTCTAGATCGCGTACAAACGAAGTTTCATGCAAATCCTTCCCGAAACAGTTAAGGATAGACGACCTTCCGTTTGACCCTTGCGATCATTTTATTTCACTCTCGTATCCGTCGTACTTTACTATTCTGACGGTGTGCTTCTGCGCAACTCCACGACGTGAGAATAGACGAATGAAAGATGAACTCAGTCACGAGTGCGACAGATTTTTTAGATGTTCAGGATATATTCGAGATATATTGATGTGACGTCCGGATGAGTATGTACTTTTTAAGAAAAGATATGCGATTCTTCCGTTTGACACTTGCGATCGTTTTATTTCACTGCTGTATCCGTCGTAATTTACTATTCCGACGGCGAGCTCCGGCACACCTCTACGACGTGAGAATAGACGAATCAAAGATGATAAATTCAGTCACGACTGTAACAGGCTTTTTAGATATTCACTACATATATTGATACGTGACGTCCTGGTGAGTATTTTCCTTTTAAGAAAGGACTGACGAGGGCTGAGATCTGATGAGGTGCTCCGACGCGCCTCTACGGCGTGGCAATAGACAAATGCGAGATGAAAGACTCAGTCATGAGTGTGACGAGCTTTGGAGCTTCTTGTGATATATTTGAGATATATTGATACGTAACACTATAACGTGGGAGTCCCTTTTAAGAAAGCAATCTTCCGTTCTACCTTTGTGCTCTTATCGTTTGACTCTTGTAGTTGCTGAGCTCCACTCTGCTAGTCGATCCTTTTAGTGGTGTTGGTTGACTGTTATGATGGTCCTTTGCGTCTTTTTCTTTTCATCCTTATGATCATCGAAATAATAAATGAACATATGATGGCACTGATGTGAAGTAGAAACAATATTCTAATGAAAGTTGAATATGCCCGGTCAGTACTTCTTTGGCTTCACTGCAAAAATTTGTATTTCACAGAAAATCACTTAAGACACTTGGAACCAAATTTTGCGCCTTTTCAGAAGTAAACTTACATCAAATACTATTTGGTATTGATACGCTTCCTTAAAAATCGATAATGCGATCAATTTGCTCAATGACGCGATCAATGAGTCTTAACGTAACTTAAATCTAACTAGATTTTGGTCGAAATCGACGGAGCGATTCTCCAATTTTTCAGTATAACACAACTAAGCAAACGAGAATGAGGCACGTCACATGAAATATCGCAATGTGACTGGCCCAAATCCGTGTTCCGAACATCATTTGTTATGAGCACACAAATGAATATCTCAAATTTGTCAGTGAACTCTTTCATGATGAAGGTTCTCCCCACGACGCCATTTCGTTGGTAGTCAGCGTGGTCCCTTCTCCAGCGCCTCTCGTGGCGCTTCGTGGTTTATATTTGTGAGATTATTGAAAAATCCCGCACGCTTGGGCCGCGACTTTCTCGGTAGACGCTTGAGATTTTTGTTTTGACGTAAAGTTGTTTGTTAGAACTGCGTCGATTCATTTTGAATCTCGCGGAGTCATTTGCGGATCATCGCTTCTCTCAAAATTGCCGGGGCATGCATCTGACCAAGATCTAATGATTTATGTTAAAGTTACGTAAAAGTTGAATGAAGACTGTTAAATTACAGTTAAATTGAGACCCTTCACCACTGAGCTCAAACGCTCAGAGATCTTAATCCGGAGTTGATGCAACTTTAACTGAGGTCCAACCGTGGTTTACTAAACCAAAAACTGTCCTCAAAAGTGAGTTTTTATTGCGGTAAAAAAAGATAGGGGAAGGCAGAACCAAGTGGAACGTTGCTCATGGACTGAAAATCCCAATATCTCTATCCATAAACAAACTCTAGTGGTGCACGGACACCACCACAAAATGTCGAAGAGTGGGAAAATGCTTGGCGCATGAAAGCGTTAAAAAGAGAAAAAATTTAAACAATGGAAATTGAAAAACTAAAAATGAAAAACCATCGCCAAAAAATTCTAAATTATATTATTCAAAATGAAGAAAACAGACTCACATAGAATCACTGAATATTAAAAAATTGAAAATTGAAAACTCTTGACGAAAAAGGTGGAAACTGTTTGATTTAAAATGTGAAAATTAAAAAATTAGAATTGAAATTCAATTAGTCGAAGGGGAACTGAAAGAGTGAAGAGAAAATGGAAGCTATTTCGACAATCACAAATGGCGCGGGAAAGGAACGGCAGAGCAAAGTCGGGAGAGAAGCATAAAATCACGACTCCCGTTCCTTCTCGCACCATTTGTAATTGTCGAGATGTGGCCCACAAGTCATTAAATTTTTGTTTTCACTTTGGTTTCCCGTTTTAAAATCACTCACTCTATACGTTTCTCACTGATGATTTTTAAACTCCAATTTTTATAAACTTCGGAAAATAACTGCATCGTTGCGAGGGAAGCGTTATGGCCCCCGATAAGGCCCCTACAGTGGAGACTTCTCGTGACATAATCTGGTAGGTGCAAAGTAGGGGCAAAACAGAAATTACCCGCGACGATCGGAAATCAGAACGATAGCGATTTGTTTTTAAACCACCTGTTTCACTTCCTGAAAAACCGAATAAATCTCGTTTCCAGTAGCTCTCGAAAACTGGAGTATTTTTAACGGATGAGTAAAATAATCGCGTTAGTGCGTGAGATAATTAAAACAGAGTGCACTTTTCTCTCATAACGATCAAGAAAATGCTGCAAATAGGAAGAAAACGATGGCATGTCACAATAAGTTTGCATAATGCTTGCGGAGCAAAGTTATAAAATCGTCAGTTCAATTATTCAAAAAGCGGAAAATAGAATCACTGAATACTAAAAGATATAAATTGGAAATTGACAACTCCCGACGAAAACGGCGGAAACTGTTTGATTTAAAATATAAAAATGAAAAAATGAGAATTGGAATTCAATTAGTTGGAGGGAAACAGACAGAGTGAAGAGAAAATGGAAGCTATTTCGACAATCACAAATGGCGCGGGAAATGAGCGGGAGAGCAAAGTCGGGAAAGAAGCATAAAATCACAACCATTTCAGCGTCCTCCGAACTCTGCTGTCCCGTTCCTTCCCGGTGCCATTTGTAATTGTGAAGATGTGGCCCCAATCCTCCCGACCCCCGCAATTCCCCACAAGTCTTCAATTTTTGTTCTCATTTTCTTTTCCCTTTTTCTTTTCAAAATTATTCATTTTACATCTTTCTCGCTGAGGATTTTCCAACTCTAATTTTTATCGAATTTGGAAAACGACTCCATCATCACGAGGGAAGCGTCATGGGCCGCGATAAGGCCCCGACATTGGAGACCTCTCGTGGCGTAATCTGGTAGACGCAAAGTGGGGAAAAAACAGACATTTCCCGGGACCCATTAGAGCTCAGAACAATTACGATTTTTGTTGAAACCATTTGCTGAAAGACCGAGTTGATCTCGTTTCCAATAGCTCTCGAAAACTCGAGAATTTTTAACAGATGAGTAAAATAATACCGTTAGTGCGTGAGATAATGAAAATAGAGTGCACTTATCTCCCACAACGATAAAAAAAACCGCAAATAGGCAGAAAACGATAGCATGTCACAATAAGTTTGCATAGTGATTGAGGAGCAAAGTTATAGAGTATTCAGTTCAATATCTTCAACAATAAAATCCATATCCATGAATTATGGAATACTCGAAGTATGAACAACAATCAAACTTTGAATCTGTTGGAGTGCAATGACCTATTCACAATCGCAAATACTACGTTAGGATTATGAATATTCGCTCACCATATCAATGCTACAGATGAAATTGTTGGGGAGGTTTCTAAATCTACATCAAGTACACGGTGAATAGCCGTCTCTCACTGAGACTCATCAATATTTATTCTAATCTCCTTATCCGCCGGGATGTGATAAATGATCCTATTTGTCCATCCGTGAATGCATTGTGAATTAATAGAATAGTCAATGACACTAGATCGTTATATTCAGAGTATTATACCAATACGATTACGAAAATTCATCTCCTGCATTAGGAAAACGCTCATATAAATCATTACCGTCATTGGAATGCACTTATACCGCTTATCGATAGTATCGAACGACCGATAAATCCAAAACAATTTATTCAAGCTTACCAGGTATCAATACCAAAAAGCAGTAGATTGAAATTCTTTTAACATTAACATCCATCCTTGCCTATTGAATCGTCTCAGACAGTAGAAATACACTCTGCGCGAACAGATAACTGTCACTCAATAAATGGAAAACATGTGATATCTCTTCTCTCTCAACTGTTGACAATATTTTAAAAATCGTTGAAGTACAAATGTAGGAAATTTAATATCGCTATCCTACGCTGAGGACACAAATTCGCAGCTATGACATCACTATTTCACAGAGTCGAGAAAACATTGTTTGATACTGTACGTAACTGTTCACAATTAGATGAATGGTATACAAGTAGGTACTGTAAGGATGTGGAATGAAAATGAACTCTAGAATTTCAGAGTTGCAACTGATGCGGGGATGCTGCAACAGCAAGCATTTGCGCCTGTCTCACGCGCCCGCGCACACAATCGTTGCTTTCCACCACCTCATGAAGTATTGTAGGAGAAGAAGGGATATAGAACGCACCCCCTACACCCCCTTCATTATAGTTTTTTTGCTCCCCACTTACCTCTGCGTTCTCTTCTTTCAACGCCTCTGTATCTTAAACCCCAAGGAGTTTCTTAAGGGAATTTAATTGAATTTGCGCGCCAAACGAGTCGGAGGGGTCGAAATCTGATTGTCATCATTGTTCCATATCAATACATTAGTCCGAAGTAAAATTTTGCAGTCTCTTCTCTGAGGGGTATTCTTTCGCTCGTTTTTTCGCTTTCCAAGGGGGCTCTGGATTCAAAGGGGTCGAATGAGATAGAAATTTCTATTTTGAAGTTTCGTTAGGCAGATAAAAAACGCACGTATCTTCCTATGAAGGCTAGGGCGAGTAAGCGCCTACATCGTATGTATTTTATTGCTTTATGAGAAATTACAGAGTTCTCTTGTGGCAAGAGAAACTTTTTTATATTTTAGTACCCGATACTCAGGAGTAAGTCTTATGCCCAGATAATTAATTTTGGCCTCAGGAGTTCGAATACAGAGATAGGCAAAATCGTAATACAGAATTCAAATTATTTTATTGTATACATAATAAGGTAACTGTATTATACGATTTTTTAATTTTTTGAATATTGAATTAATCATTAAACAAATTTTTCAATTTCCTAAATATTTTATAAATCAGTAATCAACTTCGCAAGAATGATGATTACTAGATTATCAGAAAAATCAAATTCAGGTATTTGAAATTAATTGTTTAATTATAATTGAGATCGAAAAACGATTTTCAAATTTAAATCAGAAAGTAATGAACTTTCATTAATCTGAGGTAAACTTCTTTTGAAATTACTTAGTGACAGTTTTTGCTGATCCCTGTTCAAATATCCTATTGGGGCGATGTTGAATTCAACGAATCATTAAATTGAATTGAAAATACAAAAAAGAAAAAAAAAGAAAAAAAAGAAAAAAAAATACATTCTCATAGAAATTCCATTCGGAAGCAAATTGCAAATTTATTAGCAAAAACATATTGACTAGGCTATGACGAAAGCAATTTTCCATTTGTTTGGAATGACCGAGAAAATTTCTATTTTAAGGTATCATTAGCTAGACGAAGGAGGTACGTATCGTCCTGTGAAAGCCATAGGGTGAGTACGCACTTTTGTTACATAACTAATGATACGCGTGCGTCTTTTTATGTATATCAATCATTCCATTAATTACCAAACGACTCTTCAGCGCCTAGTCGACAGCCGCTGCCAACTTTTTGCATACTTTAATACCCGATAGGGAGTGAGTTCCCCTAACATTGCAGCCCATCAACTGAACAACTTATTTCTTTCGTAATTTGTCGTCGAACATTGCTTGTTTGTCTCAGCATACGTGGGGGAAAGTTCGGCGATTTTTGAAAGAAGCGGTTTCAGCGAGAGTAGAAAAATAACAATGACATTAAATTTCCACTGGTGGGACGGTCATATTTTAATGTGGCACGAAGACACTTTCTTACGGGAATTTAATTCAATTTACTCGCCAAACGAGTCAGAGGGGTGAAATGTGATTGTCATTATTGTTCTATATCAAGTAATTATTTTGAAGCAAAATGGTACAGATTTCCTTTTCTGAGAATTGTTTTTCTGTTTTTTACATTCGAATGGGAGCTCTGGATTCAAGAGGTTGGAATGAGCTAGAAGAATTAAAGATACATGTGTTTTTAAAAATATATAAATCATTCAGGTAGTTATCAGTCGGTTCTTTAGCGCCTAGTTGGCAATCGCTACCGATTTTTCAACTTTTTATTCACTTTAAGGTGTTTCACGTGAAAAGTCGAAATAATGAAAAAAATTGAACAATTCAGGGAAGGAGGATCTGAGTATGCTGCATCACTGGGAACTTTTTAAAAATTTTCACTGATCTTGTGTTGGAGAAAAAAAATGATGAATTTGCAATGTGCTGTATCAAAAAATAAGGAATTGTATTGTCTATTAGAATTTTTTTTGGAATGGTATGCAAGATATTATGATAAATTTCATGAGAGTGACATTGAATCGGATTTAGGGAAAAAATGGTTATAAAATTTGAAGTTTTTAGTAGAATTCACGGAAATTCATGAGTTTTCAGTGGAACATGAATATTCAGAAATAAAATGACATGAATTTTCGATTTTTTCCTGAATTTCCCTGAATTTTCCTGACTTCTAAATTTTCACAGAATAATTGAACTGAGAAATCAAGTATTTTATTGATTTCCAGAAAACAAATGAAATATTTGATTTTTCAATGGCCAGATTTCCTGAAATTTCAGTGGAACTTGCACACGATAAAAATTTCCGTAAATTGCCACGAAAAATTCAGATGAAAATTTTTAACAGTGTAGCCTACTATTTTTTAATACTCTTATTATTTTCAACTCGGTTTGCAAAATCAAACAAGTTGTTTTTACTCGTGTGCCCATCGCCCTTATTATTATCATCAGCCTTTCGTTTACTCTTTCCCGTCTCCGATTTGGATCATATTTTGATTTGACTGAATCGGTACCGGTGTAGATTTATACCGAATTTCAGCCCGATCAGTTGGATGGCCCTCGAGACATTGAAAAAAAAAATGATTGTGGAGAAATTGCTATGTCTCAGGGACCTCTCCACCGATCGAGCGGAAATTTAGCACAAATTTGAGTCTGAATGATACCAATTGAAAGCCAGAATTGCAGCCGTTTGTCAATAACTGTTGCGGAGCCATTGACACAGTTCTGGACATACACACACCTCCAGATGTTTTCCAACAACGTCATTACCTCGTGTTTCATGAGATTCAGAGTCATTTTCACCTGAAATTGGGGGATAGAAAAACATGACGATAAGAATACTTTCCTTCGGAAGCAAAAAAGAAGGGATAGTGGTAGCTAATATCTGACATTTGTGGGCATAATCGGTATTGTTTACACGCACTTCAGCTCTACACTCCATTAGCTCCCTCACATGAATATTGATGCTGAATAATTGGAAGAGCCTGTAAATAACGTGAAAAATATTCCGGAAAATCGGGTAAAATTTACACTGATCTGTTAGAAAATTATTATTGAAAGTTCAAGTGAAAAAGCGTGAAATTTTTAACGACAAAGTTACGTGAAATTTCTGTGAATTTTTTTATTGAGGAATCAGTCAATTTCTTGAATATTCTAGGAATTCTCGATTTTCAGGTACAAATGGCACTGAAAAACCTTGAAAATTTTGATTATTAAAATTAAAAAATTAAAATATAATTTATTAAAAAATATATAATGTAATTTTTTCATTCAGTGTCATCCTCCTTTGTCCGAGGGGCACCGACACGTATGCGATGTTCTCCACTCAAGAATATTATTTTTATCGTATCATGTCGATTTTTCTCTCCGTGTGGAGAATTCATCTGACGTGCTCTGGAAATCAGGAACAAAGGGACTGAAATGCAGAAATTCTCTTCGATCTGGCAGTCCATTACACATTTCCCATTTATTATTCACAGAAAACCGTACAATAAGGTGTCACCAATGGCGCACTGATATGAAGTTCTTCGAAATGAAAAACCCAAGAAAAAGCATACAGGTAAAATATATTACGCCGTTTTCACAGTATACGTGGATGTCCAACTATCCCCATATTTTTCAACCACCATCACAAACGTTAGTAAAATGCCTTCTCTTTCCATCCGCAAAAACTTTTCTTGGAAACCAAGTAATTTAAAAAGTTTCTGCTTCATGACATTCGGCGATAACAAATTATCCTTACTCCATTATCCACAAATGCGATTATGATAAAGGAAAAAAAGACGAAAGATGAACAATAAAAAATCATAAGGGTGGAGAGTTGAGGTAAACTTTAATGCTCGCGAGTTGACCAGTGTCGTAGATGATAGAAGCGGAAAGAATAAGGGTTTTGCTTGGTAGAGAAAAAGTTGTGAAAAATTTCAAGTGACTGTATCTCTGATACAGTCGGAGTTTCTACGTGAATACATCTGTTCAGGAATACACGGAGAGAAATATTCAGTAAAAATTACGGAACAATTCACGTAATTCGCAGTGGAGAATGATTTTCCGCCAATTTGTAGGGATGGAAGAGAAGAAATCTGAAACGTTCAGTGAATTTTCAGGTTCATCACCGAACAGAGTACGAAACTGTCACGTAATTTTTCCCGAAGAAGTCAAATCTTACAGAAACTTGCCGACTTATTGTGCCTCCAAAATCAAAAATTCGAGGACGTTCAACAATTTTTATGAAGCTGGTGAGTTATTTCTACGTTCCGTTCCGTAAAATTTCTCAATCGTTTGGGAAAAATTACGGAACGACTTGTCCCCACAGCGATGAGTCATCAGACGGGTGGTTAATTTTTACAGAACAAACTTCGCTCGCGGATTACGTTTCGAAACGTAATTTTTACGTTTTTCATTTGGTAATTTTCATTGAATTTTTTTTTTATTTTTTTTTCTTTTTTTTTCTTTTATTTTATTTATTTTTTCTATTTTTCTCTCCGTGTAGGAAAATGGGAGAATGATGGCCATATTTTCGTCATCCGCGTCGTCAGTGTAAAAAATTACATTTTTAGAAAACGCATAAACATCCTTAAACTCGTCTGTTTCGACTTGGACCGTCTCATTTATATTGATTCATTGAACATGTATCTCCATTGGGAGGAAAGTTATGAGAATGCCGGTAGAACTTGTGGATATTGAAATAACAATTTCAGATGCTTGAGACTACACTAGACTGGATTGCACGTATGTGTAGTGTGTACATTCTTCCGGAATTCCTTGTGACATTCTACGTACGACAAAGCCTACAATGTAGTTTACTGTGGCACAAACGGCCTGCGTACAACGTCGCCGAGGAGATTAGAATTTTACCCAGCACATACCGATGTGCCT